ACAGCATGATGTTCATTTAGTACATTATGGTCCATTTAGAGTCAAACTGTCACGATCAGGCTTTGCCCTGTGTGTTCTGTGTCTGTTTCTTTCTGTAGCTCCTCACTCACCTAATCAGTTCATTCAGTGCACCTGCCAGTCACACTCACCTCATCAGCTCATTACTCTCACCTGCTCACTCTGCCTCCTTCACTATTTAAACCCCTGCCGTGCGCACACACACACACCCACTGCCAGATCATTGTTTGTTTTCCTACCTAGCCGCCCGTTTTGCTCGTCCTGTTCCCGGTTTTCCAGTCTGCCTGTTCTACCTTTTCCTGCCGGATTTTCCCCCTCGTCTTTTGTCTTGTCCCTGGATTCCCTGTTAGGTTTTAATGATAACCAAAAACATTCTCACTACACCTGACTGTCTGCGTTTGAGTCCTCATCATGCCCCGTGCCACAAACGGACCATAAAGCAGGGGATGCTTTAGGGCGGGGCTACACAGTGATTGACAGGTCTCTACCAGAGAAGTATACGGCGTCTCTACCTCACTCCTCAGTCCAGATATGGTCACTTATGTCAACAGTTTCTAGTTTCCTTGTGTAGTTCTTGTCTTCCACTGGGATGAACCAATCAGCTGCGAGCAGGACGATGTGACCTTTAACTCACTACGGGTACATCCCAAGTCTCTTATTTGTCATTTCCTCGATCCTCGCTTGAACAGGAATTTGTTCTGCTCCGCCATATTGACGGCCGTCCCAAAGCTCTTATTTAGCTCTGAGGAGCGAGGATGGAGGATGGATCTCTGACAACAGCCTTCCAGGAAGTGTTTTAACGGCCGACACGCTATGAAGGTATATTTGTGAGGCATGGCTATGTTAGCTACGCATGTATGACACAATTTAAAATAAATCCTATGAGCTTGGTTTTCTCCGACCGAGAAAGTGAGGCTTCATGTCAACACAGCAGCCCTCCATGTCTTTAAAAAAAGAGACTCCACGACACTAACAACATCAGAACAAAGTGAAGTGCTGCTACAACTTACCTCCATGTCGCTCATCACAGTAACCTCCCGTCCGTGTTTACGCAGATGCCAAGAGCCAAGTCAACTCACCAATAGAAACACCTGGCTCATTCAGCAGCGTATGCCCCGCCCACTCCATCCAAGCTCAACTCGTAGCTTTTCGTTTTGAAAGCGTAGTTTTTTTTTTTGCAGCCAAAAATTCTAGTTTCATAAGCAAAACTAAGAAATAAATAATTCTCAGTTTATATATTTTCACTTACAAACTTGATTTTTGATTGCAGTGCAAGACATTTGCTTTCAAAACTTTTTTTTTTTGTGTGCGTAATAAAGACAAATATACCTTCATAACACCCCCCCTCATTGTTCATCTGTCATGTGATTGGACGGTGCAACCGATCGGACTGATGAGATTTTGTTCAACATGTAAACAGTGAAGACGGATCACAGATTAAATTCTAGTTTATATTTGATTAGGTTTCTGATTCACCATCTGGTTTAAATAAAAGTTCATTATAGTCTGAACAACAAAAGGACCACAAACAACTTTCTGCATCTATTAGAAAGATTTGTGTTTTATAATCTGTTTCCCTCATCAGATCAGAAAACGAATCAAAGATAAACTAGAGTTTAATCTGATCGTCTTCACTGTTTACATCAGTAAACTAAAAATCTCATCAGTCCGATCGGCTGCAGCGTCCAATCACATGACTGATGAACAATGAGGGGGCGTGTCGGCCGTTAAAACACTTCCTGGAAGTCTGTGCTCGTGGGTCCTCGCTCTTCAGGTTCAAGCGAGGATCGAGGAGCGAGGAAATGACAATTAAGGGACCCTACAGTGTGCTGGAACGTCCTCGGGGTTCCTCATTGTTCTGTTCCGCTGTGATGTCACTCTCAGGTGTTTGGACTGCCCAAACTCCTCCCCCAGTAGGTAGAACCAACCAGTGACGAGCTGCCAACACAGAGGGGGCGGAGCCAACAGGTCATTAAATGTAACTATAGATAAAAAGTAATCTGGCTTTTTGATTCATCAATAAATGTTTACGTCTAAAAAACAGAATGAAAATGTCTAACATTAGATCTATAAAATATTAACAGAACGAGAAAAACATTTCAGAAGGTTTCATTGATTGATTGATCCATTCATTCAGTCATTGATTCATTCATTCAGTCATTCATTCATTCATTCAGTCATTCATTCAGTCATTCATTCAGTCATTCAGTAATTCATAGGTTCAGGAGACAGCAGGCTCATCTCAAACTAGCCTGCTGTTTCATATGAGATCTGAAAGCCAATCAGAGTGAAGCATTCCCTCTCTGCTGATTGGTTTAAACTGACCTTAGAGGACGAGACGAGAGAACTAATCCCAAAGCTCAGACAGCCAATCAGCTGACTGCACCTGAGGAGGCGAGGGAGGGGACGGACAACACACATATATGTTTATATATGTGTTTACATGTTTTAAATATGTCATCACTCACCTGCTGAACACCGAAATCAACAACCTCTTCAGGTAGAGGTCATCACTGATACGCCTAAAACACAGACAGAAACACACACACACACACAGTTAACATCCACAACATGAAGAGACGTCCGTGTGCGTGTGTGTGTGTGTGTGTCTCACAGTTTAAACTTGGAGTTGTATTCTGGGTTCTTGTTATTCAGGACAGTTGGGGTTTTCATCATGACGCAGAGGTCAGAGATCACCTCCATCTACACAAACACAGTTTGTGTTACTTACTGATACTACTGTTACTACTACTACTGCTGCTGATAGTACTTCTCCTCCTACTGATACTGTTACTACTACTACTACTGGAAAAGAGTTCTATACCTTCACATAGGAGTCACATGACCTCATCAGCCCTCTGGCCTTCTGGACTGTGGAGAGAAGAAACACTGTCACTGTCAGAAAACTTAGAGAACAATAAAGTTTGATTCAGGAAACTGAACACGAAGAGTTACTCAAAGACCCAGGGTACATCCCAAGTCTCTTAATGTCATCCCCGTTTCCCTCACTTGGGTCCTTTCCTTGCGTCCTAGTCCCTCCCACCAGGGATGCATGGAGGAAACCATGCAAGGAGAGAGGAACGAGGAAATATGTTTTAAGAGACATGAGACGTCCTTTCCTCAGTTGCGTCACGTGAAGCGACGTCTGTTTCTGATGACGGTGCTGATGATCACAGCTGATCAGCTGTCAGTCGGCTTTAACAGCTGGAGAGACTTTTGATAAGTTTGTGTCTGTTCACATGATCACTGTACTTAATAACAGTAACTAATAATACTAATAACTAATAAAGACACACAGTAATCACCACTGTAGAGGTGTTTCTCTCTGTAGTCTGTTAACAAACTGTGTCCTGTGTTCTGTTTATAAGCACAGGATTCATTTCTACCGGCGGAATGCGATCGTCTTATTTCTGAATTATTTGCGTCTGTACGTTTTGAAACTGTGACGTCATTATTAAATAACCCAGAATATGATTATTGTTTCTCTTAAATGATAAAACTCATCAAACACTCAGGAATGATGTAAAAAGTGTTTCGTCTCTCAGCTCTCTCTGACTTTAATTGTATTCATAATAAAGTTATTGAGGGAAACATCAGATCATGAAAACACAAATCTTTCTAATAAATGTAGAAAGTTGTTTGTGGTCCTTTTGTTGTTCAGACTACAATGAACATTTATTTAAACCAGATGTTGAATCAGAAACCTAATCAAATATAAACTAGAGTTTATTCTGATCCGTCTTCACTCTGGTGTTAAACTCAGTCAGTCAGTCCGATCGGCTGCAGCGTCCAATCACATGACTGATGAACAATGAGAGGGCGTGTCGGCCATGAAAAGACTTCCTGGAAGTCTGTTCTCGTGGGTCCTCGCTCATGGCTCCTCAGAGGTCCCTCCTCCATCCTCCATCCTCGCTCCTCAGAGCTAAATAAGAGCTTTGGGACTGCCGTCAATATGGCGGTGCAGAAACAACTTCCGGTTCGAGCGAGGATCGAGGAGCGAGGAAACGACAATTAAGAGACTTGAGAAGCTCCCCCAGAGACTCCTCTCTCCAGGTTCTCAAATTCTGCTGGATCTCTGTTCTCCTTACAGCCTCCTTTTGTCCTCCTCCTCCTCCTCCTCCTCCTCCTCCTCCTCTCCACCGCCTCCTCTTCATCTCCTCCTCCTCTTCTTTTTCTTCTCTCCTCCTCCTCCTCCTCTTCTCCTCTTCTTCCTCTCTCCTCCTCCTTTTTCTTCTCTCCTCCTCCTCCTCCTCTTCACCTCAGGAGCTGATGTTTAAATCACATCAGCTCACATTCAATGGATCAGTTTCACTCTTTTATTCTCACCTGTTTCTGTCCATCAATCTCCTGATAAATAACTAACCGTCTGACTAACTAACTAACAGTTTAACTAACAACAATCTAACTGACTGAATAAAGAAACTAACCGTCCGTCTGACCTCTTCCCTTCTCTCTTCTTTTCTCTTTCTGTCTTTTACGTTTCTTGAATTTTCCCTCTGAAAGAAAAAAACAAATTCAAACCAGAAGCAGATTTTCAAGTTAAACGAACACACATGAGTGTTTCCTGTGTGCTCTTTCAAAATAAAAGCTTATTGTCATCGGAAAATAAAAGCGTATTTTCATCGGACTAAAGCAAATCTTTATATAAACATTAGTGCTGGGCAACGGTCAAAATTTTTAATCGCGATTAATCTCATTGTTATGGCAAAGTTCAATAATTCAAAAGTAGTGTATTGTGGACTTTTATTTTAAAGTCCTGCTCTATGAACTAAAGGTGAATAACATTGTGTGTAAACACTTTAAACACATCAGGTTGTTGTTAGCAGCAGTGTTCTCTTTACACAGCAGCAGTTCTATCTCTTCACTATCTGTGCTCAGTGTGTGACTGTGTGTGAAACGTTCCACTGCTGTGCAACAGGAACATGTTTCAGCACGTTTCATCTACATGTGTGTGTTGTGTCTTAATGACAGTCAGAGCATGTGATGCAGCTCTACTCTTCATCACTATGATGCTGTAACTCAGAGGTGATGATGGTGACCCAGCGATCAAAGAATAAAGACACTTTACCCACAATTTAGGTGTATTTTCCCTTTAACTCACGAGATGCAGGTAGCATGTTTTATACTTAATGTGAATATAATTCATACTTTGTTGGTATCTTATTCTGAAAACCGGATGTTCGTCTGAAGAAACCGGATGTTGTCTCACATTAATCTTTCTGCTAACAAAGTCCTTCGCTCGCTCCTGATCTGTGCCGTTTAAATGCGTTTACCATAAATTTCAGCATATAGGTGCACTAACATGTAAGTGTCTGCTGAGTTTACCGCAGCGATGTCCAGTAGTCTCCATTCCTCCACCGCTGCCAGTGAGCAACGGACTTTCAAAATTAAAAAATGCGTTAACGAGCTATAAAATAATTGTCAGCGTTAATTAATTAATGCGTTAATGCAATAATAACGCGTTAACTTGCCCAGCACTAATAAATATATATATATATATATATGTGTGTGTATATATATATGTGTATATATATATGTATATATATATATATATATATATATATATATATATATAGATATATATAACTGTGCCACCATCAGGTTCACATTTCTTCTGGAGCTCTCGATCTTACAGCATGATCTTCTTCAGCTGAATAAAATCATGTCAAACAATAAAATATCCAGAAGAGCTTTTAAATGGAACATAATGTTTTATGTTATTATAAATATATTTACAGCATAAATGATGGAGTCAGCTGGAGCATCAATAACAACAACCAATGAATTATTTCAGATCAATAACAACTGATCCAGAACCAGGCTTTTACTGTGAAAACCAGTCCTCTGTTTCCTGTGTGGTTGATTCTGTTTGTTAGACTTCCTGTGAGGAGGGGGGTCCACATGTGTTTGTCATTAACAGAGGGGAAGGGAGGGGCAGCCTGTTGGCAACAAACCAAACTCCACTCAGTGACCTGAAGGTTTCTCTCTCACTTCCTGTTCTCCTCTCGTCTTCATGCTGTTGTTGTTGTTGTTGTTTATTCCTCTGATTATTGATCACATATTCAGATCAATGCAGTAAAAGTACTAAAAGCATCTGTCCTTTGTCTTTAACCACTAATCCTGTTCAGGGTTCTGGGGGTCTGGAGACCATTCCAGACCAGGACCAGACCAGGACCACCACAGAGAGACCGGTAACCTGAGCTGCAGGTCTTCAGACTGAGGGAACCAACGCTGGACCTGGAGTACTGATACTACACTGACAAAATACTATGTTACAGTCAAATAACTAATACTACACCGACAAAATACTATGTTACAGTAAAATAACTACTACTACACCGACAAAATACTATGTTACAGTCAAATAACTAATACTACACCGACAAAATACTATGTTACAGTCAAATAACTAATACTACACCGACAAAATACTGTTACAGTCAAATAACTATTACTACACCGACAAAATGCTATGTTACAGTCAAATAACTAATACTACACCGACAAAATACTATGTTACAGTAAAATAACTAATACTACACCGACAAAATACTATGTTACAATCAAATAACTAATACTACACCGACAAAATACTATGTTACAGTCAAATAACTAATACTACACCGACAAAATGCTATGCTACAGTCAAATAACTAATACTACACCGACAAAATACTATGTTACAGTAAAATAACTAATACTACACCGACAAAATACTATGTTACAGTAAAATAACTAATACTACACCGACAAAATACTGTTACAGTAAAATAACTACTACTACACCGACAAAATACTATGTTACAGTAAAATAACTATTACTACACCGACAAAATACTATGTTACAGTCAAATAACTAATACTACACTGACAAAATACTATGTTACAGTAAAATAACTAATACTACACTGACAAAATACTATGTTAGTCAAATAACTAATACTACACTGACAAAATACTATGYTACAGTCAAATAACTAATACTACACTGACAAAATACTATGTTACAGTAAAATAACTAATACTACACTGACAAAATACTATGTTACAGTAAAATAACTAATACTACACTGACAAAATACTATGTTACAGTAAAATAACTAATACTACGGCGGACGGTTAGAGGCGAGGCTTAGTGAGATAGAAGTACGGCTCCGCACCATGGAAGCTAAGACGCTAGTGACTGCGGGCGTAGCCGGTGCGGACCAAAAAGGCGTGGCTCCTGCTAGCCGTCTCCCTGCAGCCCCCGAGCAGCCGCGGGGCCGGGTGGCTGCTCGCGGGAGGCTTGAGTCTTAAGCGAAGCACTCGGCTCTCCAGCAGCCACTTCGCGTTTCAAATGGGTCTTCCCCACCCGACAGAGTTGGTTTCTCAGCTGAGAGACCAACTCTGGTCATAGGCAGCTCTATTCTGAGAAACGTGAAGCTAGCGAAACCAGAGGCTACAGTTACATGTATACCCATGGCCAGAGCAGGCAACATTGAGTCCTATCTGAAAGTACTGGCTAAAGATAACCGTAAATACAGTAAGATTGTTATTCACGTCGGCGGTAATGACACCCGACTACGGCTCTCTGAGATCACTGAAGTTAATGTGGAATCTGTGTGTACATACGCCAAAGCCATGTCGGACCCCCTCCCGAATCTGACCAATGATGAAATGTTTAGCCGCATGGCATCGTTCCAGCAAACAATGTGGGCTTCGTAGACAACTGGGAGACTTTCTGGGGACAACCTGGTCTGCTTAGGAGGGACAGGATTCATCCCACTTTGGATTTCTGCAAATCGGACACTGGTCCTTCCTCCTACCATGGCCCTGCTGACACCTACTACTATCTTCATTATTAACATTATTAACCCTATTACCGATACCATTAACGCACATTACTGACTTGTTTCTTCACCGGAGTCCTTGTGCTTTCTCTCCTCACAGGTTTCCATG